ACTGACTCAAAGTTCAGGTAATAGATCTCCAAGATGTAGAAATGTTGTGTTAAGTTTATTTATTTCATATTTCATTCCATCTAAGCAAACAGTAACTTTCTGAAGTGAAATATGTTAACTATGTCACATGTATTTTGCATGTTAGTTCTGCTTCACATTAAAACTTCTCACAGACCCCTGTGATGCCTTACTGCAAATATATATAGCTGCAAAGAGTGGTTGAGGGGAGCTAGAAGTGCCAGAAAACCATGTAAACAATCTAACAATACGGCCTTGAATTTCTAAATATAAATGCACCATGTAAAGTCAAAATATAATACTTAAACGATTTTCGTATAATGATGAGTGTGGGCTAGAGAGAATCCAAATAGAATTATATTTTTTTAACAGTTCCAGGAAAACCATGGCCTTGACTTGGAAGTATAGCAAGAAATATTTTTAAACAGCATGAGTTCTCATTACCGCTCCATTCTCAGCCTGTTGTCTCTGCCTGGTTAGGCGTAGGATGGCCTTGAGGCAGCCCACGCTCCAAAGGACGAAAGCACTCTTCAGATTCTTCTGTCGTCAATATTGTTTATTAATTCTTATCTACAAAGTTGTCTGCCAGCCAGACAGAGGTCTGCCCAGTAAGACAGCCATGGGCACACTGACCTCCCACTGGGCGGTCGTCTATTTTTATACTAAAAACTATGTACAGGATATTTACCTTTACCTTCCAATACGTTTTACTCTTATTAACAAGTGCAGATTCAATGTGAACCAATCCCTAAGTGCCATCACCATCAAAGATGGATGACAACAAGAAGAGGAGAAGGACAGGGCACGCCCTAATTCATCCATCTTGTCTCCTAAAAACCCCCCTGTACCAAAATCCCAAAACCTGTGTTTTCACCCTGTGAATAATCAATTCCTTCACCACTTATCCCCAAGTGATCCTCATGTCCTCATACAGGTGGCACATCCCGTGCAGGGTCAAAATCCAACTAACAAGCACTTCTGGCAACATTCCAGGATTTCCGAGCCCCCCAAGGGTTATCTCGGCAACTCTGGACATCAGGAGTGATGTGCTGAGTTCCCACAATTACCTAATCATGTGATTTGTATAACTGCATTGGAAACCAGGAAATAAACAAAGAAAAATATTCAAGCTATAAAAGATGTGAGTTCAAAATTTTCTTTGTGTTTCTGATTAAAACTATTAGGTAGCTAAATGGTCACCCATTATTTTAAAAAGCATCTGGACATTAAAAATAGATAAATTTCTGTGGGACTTGGATGTCAGCTATTCCTGAAAAGCTTTGTTTCACTGCTTCCCAACACTGAATCAATCCACTTAAACACAGTTGTATTTCAGATGTTCAGCGAAACTGTCCATGTCATGCATTGTTGTAGTTCATTTTTATACTTTGTAATACTTTGAAGTAGTTTTGTTTTGCATCCCCATATTTTTCCCAAATGGTTTATCCCACACTGTACCTCCCTCCCTTTACCTGTGTTATCCCTCTCCCAGGATGAGATCACCCCCAAACCCCTACCCTGACTCTCTGTCAATCACTCACCATTCCATCCCTCCATCTAGAAGTTTCAGTTTCGAGTGATTAGCCAGAGGCTAGGGGTCAGCCCCCCAAGCCTTGCCACATATGCTGTCCTATATGTCTATCCTCCGGTACCCATCTCTTAGGGTCACTTATTGGTTACTAAAATGTTATCTACTTTTGGTTTCCACCTCCCTTGAAATGTAACCTTGGCACATCTCCCGGGTCTCTCAGCAGGAAGCCCCCTGAGGGTCCAGGAGCTCCTTTGGGACTCCTAATAAAAGCCCCTAGCCCTTTGAGAGTTGGCCCTTTGTCTTCTACCAATGTTTCTGGTGTCTACTCTGCTGCAGAGGCAACTAGCCTAGGTGCCCTCAGCACCCTCAGGGCACAGGAGAGTGTCTCCCCGCTGTCGGCCATATCGGGGGTTGCCCCTCCGGTGTCTGCCGACTCGGGACTGGCCGAGCATTGCTGAGAGGCTCACAGAGGGACCGAGACAATGCATATAGTTGACAAAGAATCTTCAGAAAAAGGTAGATTGATTTGAAGATCTTTTTCTGTAATGGAATTCAAATTATTTGTACAAACATACAGATGGGATTTCTGCTGTCTTCTTCAGGCCACTTCCTCCAGAGAGCTCTCCATCAAATCTCTCTAGTTCTGCTCTTCTGGAGATCCAAAGTCAGCATTGGGATGGTCCATCTGCATAGAATTACTGTCTGCTAGAGGTGCACCCTGAGGGCTTCTGTGTGCAGCATCACATGAGCCCTACTAATGTCACCCTGTTGGTATAAACTGAGCTAGCTGGACCTTAAGGGACAAGATTGTGCACTGATTTTGCAATAGAAATTAGGTACTAAGAAGGAGGCTGGAGGATTTAAATATTTCTGCCTCCAGCTTAAGCAACACTAAGTCTTGGTCTTTGTCTGACAAACTAGGTGAATTAACCCATTCAGCATTCCTGTGCCAAAAATGTTGGTAATACAACAAGAACCGTCAAAAGAATAACAATTCAAATCATTACTTTATAAAAATAATTCATTGGAAGAAGTCGGGAAGAAGAATGAAACATGCCAATATCCTACCCTGAGAATCATTCTGTTGATTTGCACAGGTTTCTTATTATATACCCATCTAATGCATTGGACATGCATGCTTGTGATGACACAAGTACTTGCAAAGCTTACCAGATAAACCATGTTCTCTTCAGAGAGCAAAAAAATTCTTGATAGTTGTATTTACTAATTACATTTAGACTCAATGTTCTTAAAGGTCTTTTCCAACCAAAGTGATTCCATCATTCTCTAAGTCGCACATCCTGCTTGTCCTGGTTTAGGGCAAATTTGGCAGCAAACCTCAAGGAGGGATGATTTATTAAAAATATTGATCTAGTACTGATATCCAACTGTGACGGATAAAAACTCTCTAACAATTTAAAGTTAGAAAGTGTATGTTTATTGCAACATCAGGCAGCATGCAGGATAGCTCCCAAATACACACTGTGATTTACAGGTGATTACAGAGTCCTTTTATCTATACAAGTCTTGAACACCCAAAATACAAACATTCATATTTTGGTACATCCCACTCCCCATTTTGTAGGGCAGTTAGTTCAAAAACTATTAAGCATGCGTAGTTTGTTCCTCAAAATGAGTCGGTGGTCCCTTTCATGGGGAGGGGTCCCAAAATGAGGAAACAAATGAAGTCTTCCTCATTCTGAACTTTCTACATTTTCAATACAAATATGACAAATTAACCCATTGGTAGAACTCCCATTCCCCATCTTCAATTGGTTTCAGAACAGAGGAGGCCTTCAATTGTCTTATGTTCCTAAAAGCTATTTATCAATTTCTATATTCTTCATTATAAACCCAGTTAACCAAACATGATGTTGACAAGCAATCAATTATTAGTTAACTACTAACTCTTAATTTCATCAAGGCCTACCTATTTATTTTGATAAACTCTAATAAGGCTTATCTCTAACTAAAACCTCAGCTCCTCTAAAATCCCTAAATTCCTTAAAGTTTATGTCTCAGGGCCCCACCCCCCCAGAAAGTCCACCCACACGGCCCCTCCCCTAAACTGGTTTGGGAAAAATTTCTTCTGAGAGAAGTGGAAAAAAACTGTTTATTTAACAGGCAAAGCACTCCCCAGCACCAAAAATGAACAATACCAGATGACAAAACTCAATCTCCGCTCTGAAGAGACGACAAATTCAGAAAGTCTCTCCTGTGGATGAGACTCCTCTGTTATCAATCCCTCCGGCATGGGGAAAGGCTGCTGCCCAGAGTAGGCCCCCATAGGCCACAAAGTGCAAGCTCTCAGTGCTCCCCAGGCCCCAGTCCGGAGCAGGTTTGAACAGTTCCAAGAAAAGGGAAAGAAAAAAAGACAGTCCAGGGAAAACTCTGCCTCAGCCAGCTAAACCAACTGAAAAGCAAAGAACACTCTGTTCTGCTCAGTCAGTGCCCGGACAACACTGTGCAGTACAGAATGTGAAGCGGTGCTGCTTTTAGAAGAGTGAATGCAGCCTCTGATAACAAACTCTGTGCTTCTTCTTCTCCCCACCTTTGCTCTCAGAACCAGTCTTGAAGGCAGAGAATATAATATCTAGCATTAACAGAACAGATGACTGGGGATACAAGCATCATAAAGTCACCCTAGGATGCTGCTCTACTGAGATATGTCACCAGACTATGCTAAGACAAAGTTTTGGAACTGCTAATTAAAATTATACTATCACAGTGAAGCTGTGGAGGAAACACAGCTCACTCCAGTTACCTTGTGGCATGCCAATATTTCATTTCAATCACAATGCTTTTTGTTTTTAAGTCCATGACATCACAGGTATAATTCAGCATCTTTTGGGCAGGAAGGAAGATATTGTTCTTCTCATTGTACTGATGGGTAAGCTGACATGCAAAGCAGTTAATTCAAAGTGAAAAAGCGATAAAGTCAATAGTAAAACTCACAACAGTTTTGTTTACTACCCTAAGTCATTAATATCCCAAAATACAAGAACAGCTGTAAAAGCCTTGAGGCTACTTAATTTTTTCCTATTAAAAATATAGGAAAAAATTATATCTACATGGGAGGGTAAGGGATAAATGATCCCAAACAATGGTAATCGACAACAAAGCATTCTTCACATCATATTCAGCTTTTGCATAGCAAGCTCTTCACCTGATCAAGTTATTCCATTGCAATAGTTTGGGGAGTATCTTAGAGGTCTGGGTGTTGTTTGGTTTGAAACCATCTTGATTATTCAGGAACCCAGTAGCAACGAGAAAACTCAAAATAAGATAGTGATAGTGGAACCCTGGGAAAAGTTAAAAATAGAATCTAAAAATGTTAGGCTTTGTGCTTTCCCAGATCAACTGCACCTGCTTAAGCAGTATGATAAATTATATAATTGTTAGATGTGATGATTGTTTAGTAATTAAATGTAATTATTATATAACTATGTGGAAGTCCATCCGGAAATCCTTCAGTTTTTGCCTCACAATTGTCATGAGAAAAGGACCGCCGAAGGGTTAAAAAATGTTGAGCCAGTTGGGAAAGAAAGTCTCATGCGTATTTAGTGTGTTTACAGATGGTGTCTGCAGAACATGCCATGCTGTACTCGAAGGGGCATGCTGCCCTGTTCTGAACAATGGAACTGGACTTTCTTCCAAAACTTCAGGCCTGGCTGGACTGAGCTCTGGGGTGGCTCCCCTCCCCTCCAAGAAGACCCCTCTTGCCTGTCTTCAATCACCATGACGGACCCACAGAGATGCGAATCCGCTCATCAAAGAACCAAGAACCCCTCTGGCACCCTACTGGCACCCTATTGGCATCCCCATGGCATCCCCCTGGCCACCTCCTTCCAGAGACTGGGACTGTACCCCCTCCCAACTCAAGGAAGGGGGAGAACCTGCCCAGAGTAAACGTACCTGGGAGCATTCGGCCATGAAAACAATGGAATAATCTATCCTTTTCCCCTTCATGGAAACATAATTTAGGCCACCCTTCCCCCAACCAAGAACAGTATATCTGGGGTTCGGTTCGACTGCCTCTCTGAGAATCTCCCCAAGACGTGTACCAGCGAGCATCGGCAGCAGGACCCCGAAGACATCACGTCTTGGTAACTATACCCCATTCCCTAACGTTCTTTCCTCCCTTTTTCCCTTGTCCTACCCTTCTCTTCCCCGGATCCTCTAACCTAATGCATATTTAGCTGTGGTTACCATCAATAAATTGCATCTTGTTGATTTGTTACTGCAAAACCCCTGTGCCTATGTTGGTTATTTTTGCACCCAAAAATTATTCGTCACCTGTTCATTTCAGGCGGACCTTCACAAACCATAAGAAGAATAGTGAGAAACTATGTTGGAAATTCAGAGAGGGGCTAAATTTATGTATACAATAGAACAATATAAGTTTAATAATTAAGATGAAAGTTATGTAACGATAGAGTATAAAACATGATCATTTCGGATGTATGGTCAGAATCAGATTTGGGTTGAATATACCCCGATTCCCAGAGCTCTTAATAAAAAGCACCACATATAGTCCCCGTGATTATGTGTTTTTGAACGCTAACAATAGTGCTATGCATTGATTTTCATATATGACAGACATATTTCTAGAACACAGAAGGGTGACCTAATGCTTCACTACAACATGGCTGAAGTATGCCGCTTCATTGTTACATTGTGTCGGTATAAGTTGGACTGTTCTGCTCCCCCCTATCATGTAATGGTTCTGCCCTGGTTATCTTCTCCCTCCCTTGTGCTGCCAGTTATCCCAACTCCTCCCCAATTGTCTTGGAGACTAATGTATTCTTTCTCAAATCCTTCCCCAGTGCCCTGTCCATCACTGAGCACTCCCACCCTTCTCTCTAGAGACTTCCAGCTAGAGCGTCACGTGATTGGTTCAGGGGCCAGGGCCCCACCCAGGGCCCCACCCTCAAGTTATCCCCATTAGTGTTCTCCCTAAGTCAATCTTTTGTATCCCACTTCCCCTCTAAAACTCTATTCATCCAAGGACTGTTTCCCTCCCTCCTTATAAGCTGTTGCAACCCCCCCAGAAACTCTCTTCAGTTGTTGGTTCGCCTGGGACCCAATAAACCTGGATTCACCACAGCTGGAGTCCGCTCTCTTTTTCTGCTGACTGTAGCCATAAACCAAGCCACGTCTTCCCACAAGGTTGCACTGCTGTCATAGCACAAGGCGTTTGCTTTAGGTGCTGTCCCGAACCACGGAAATCGGGATAGTGCTCCCCTACTGCTAGCGGTGCTGGATAGCTATCCGGGACATCCAAGAAGAACAATCCTTCTCCAGCCTGACTGCTTCAGTTTGGTGCCCAACGTGGGGCCTGAGGGCATCTCCAGACCCCACGGACAGGCTGTAAGTCTTATTAGCCATCAAGCTACCTCCAGTACAGCCGACCCCTTTTTGGTAGGTGGTGTTCTGGAGGATCAGGAACGGCAGCTGTTCCCCCCACAAGGAGTCGTTCCCCAAGCAGAAACCATGACTCCTCTGCTGCCCCTCGCCAGATTATTTCTCTCTCTCCCTGTCTTTCTGTTCTGTCTATCTCCCAGTGCCGCATGGCACTTTTCTCTGCTGCTTTTCACCCATGCGGTCTCGCAGCCGCAGCATGGTCTCTCCCTGCCCCTCCCCTGTGTGGCAGCGTGGCGACAGCTCGGTTTTTGGGCTCTCGCCACAGCTTTGGGCACAGGCGGCTCTCGCTGCAGCAGCAGAGGACCGGCATGTGTGGCTCTGAGCTCCCACGCAGCGACCACATGTCACAGGGGAGCCAGCAGCCGCCACCTGCCATTTTAAAAGCCGTGTGGCGCAGCGCAGGGAAGCCCGCAGCTGCCGTTCACCATTTTCCACGCGGTGTAGCAGTGGGTGCTCACCTTGCTGCGCAGCTTTCTCTTTTTTCTGACAGGGGCTGGTGTGGGGGGTCATTGTTCTGTTATGTTTGCTTAATTATCTCATCAAAAAAAACTCAAACAATATTTAAGGTAGCAACAATTTAATTGAATAGTTTAGAAAATATATAAATATATAAATATAAATATAAAAATTTGGTTCAAATAATAGCGCACAAGCAAAAACAACTGCGGGGTACGGAGGGCAGGGTTCTTGACCCTTGCCACTTCACGTACAAGCTTGCTAAGTGCAAGTCACTCTTTATATGCCATGTGTCAATGCCATCTCCTCCTATTTTCAGTTCGCCACTTTTCTGTCTCCACCTTCATTACCACCTTTACCACGCATGCGCCACTACTTGGTTTGGTGGTCGCACAAGTCTTTGGGGATTGTCACTGATGAAGGCCCTGTAGTCTTCTTCATTATCTTTTAATTCACCTTTGGGTTACACATGCGCACTAAGCTAGTACAATGTAAGCTAAGACTAACGTATCACTGCATCTATATATCAAAGCAATAAGTCCTTTATAATTAGCATTTTCTTGGACCTAACCAGGTTCTTGGTCATTTTTAGAAAGTGTATCTTCAGCTTCTTTCTTGTGGTCTTTGAGAACATCTGCTGGGAAGGGGGGGTGGGTGGAGCCCCTCCTTTCCCTCTCTTCTTTGGCATTACAACTTTTAACTGTTTTATTATTCTCAAATATTAATTACTCTATCAATATTGACTACTGTTTCAATTTTTATCAGCACGAATCATACCTATTTATCACAGTTCCTTTTCTTTAAAGTTTTTTTGGGGCGATGGGCAGACTGAGTCTCACCACATAATATCTTTATAATGCGTGCTCACTTTTCTGCATCTCAGAAGAGAGCTTTTACCTAAGTCGCAGGAATCTTTGCGTGGGGGGTGTTAAAGTTCAGAAAAGAGAGTTTAAAAAATTAGTAAAATGGCTGTTTTCCCAATTTCCATACATTTCCCCTGACCAAAAATACGACCCCAGTTTCTGGGATGTTAATGATAAATTACAAGATTCTGTTAAGTCAGGAGACTCTCCTTTGTTAAAAATCATATTTTGGACTTCTCAAATTAGATCGGTGTTAAATCCGGTTCAAAATTGGGAAAACAGTCATCTTTACAAAGCTTAATCTCCAGTTCTCTCTGTTCCCCTGCTCCTAGTCCTTTTCCCTCCCCTACTTGCCCTAAAAGTGGGATTTTGAGAGGAGAAGCCCGCTCCAGCACAGCGCAGGTGTCTACCATTCCCCTGGCTCTTCTCGAAGCTCCCAATTCCCCCACCTGAGGAGTCCTGGCCAGACTCTCCGGGGTTCCTTTCCTTCCCCCTCTCACCCAGTTAATAAGTTCCCAGTTTCTAAACCCTCAGTTCAGTTTTGTCTCTGTTCCCAAGATGGCTCCCAATTAGCACAAGATGAAGGGAGCCACATGGTTTTTCCTGCCCTTTCCCCTTCTTCATCCCACAATCATTTTTGTTCCTCAAAAAACCCCTTCCTGTCCCTAGACGCCTCCTAACTTCCTTCTGCCCCTCCTCCCTTGGCAGCTCCTCCCATTTCTCCTCCCTCCTATGAAGCTCCGCCCTTTCACTACTCCCTTGGGGCGGAGACTCAAACATCTGACATCCCCGCCCAGTCCTCCAGCCACTCCCCTTCCCTTCTCAGTTCTGGTTCCTGCGGTCCAGTGTCCAGAGGGAGGGAGGTGGAGACCCGGGACCCAGAGATGGTTTCTATCCCTTCAGCTGCTCCAGTCACATACCATCCGGAGAAGGAGAGGAGAGCCCAGGCCCACTGGACTTCCTTCCCCCACCACATTATCAAATAGCTGTGCAAGGCCCAAAAAGATTTCTCCCAGGAGAGCAAGTACTTCTGGGAAATCCTGAGGGCCATGCTGACAGAATCGGAAGTCACTCCCTCCGACCTGTGGCACCTTTTTTCATGCCTGCTACACCCCACAGAGTTTGTCATGTGGGAGGCAGCATGGAAAAAGGAAGTGGTGGGAATGCTACCCTCCCTTTGGGACAATCCCCACACTGGTGTTGATTTTAACGGTGAGATCATCTCAAATGACCATCTGTGTGGGATGGGGAATTGGGCAGATGGTCATTCCCAAGCTAGGTCCATTCCCCTGGAGGCATTGAAAGAAACTGCCAGGGCAGCAGAAAGGGCTTTCTTGAGGTTGCGGTCAGCAGCACCTTGTTTCACCTAGTCTAGAATTATCCAGCATCCAGAAGAATCATTTGTGTCCTTTGTTGAGCGCCTTCACAAGGCAGTTGATTTGCAGGTGCAGAGTGAGGAGACCAGGACAGAGATTGTCAAGGAGGTAGTGTCTGCAAATGGTAACTCAGCTTGCAAGGTTGCCATTTTCAGTTTACTCCTGGACCTACCTCCTACTCTGCAACACATGCTGGAATTTTTGTGCACACAAAGTCTTGCTGTCACCAGGAGACCTCGACTATAAAACCCAACCGCAACCTCGAAGGATTGCCGCTGCTGACACCACAGACATCCCACCTGTAGATCCAGCCCTGCCTTTGGCCGATCGTCCATCGCATCCCCGCACCCCAGGATCGTCCCAAAGGAGAACTGCTCCCTGCCATCTCTGTGGGAAGCTTAGACACTGGATGCCTGACTGCCCCCTGAGACTCCAGCTTTTAGAATTCAGGAAAGGGCAGGGATCTCAGGGAAACCCCCAACAAAAAAACTAGTTTCTGAGCCCCCCCTTGTGTGAAGATACAAATGAGGAGGGTTTAATAACATCTTGCAGGGAGGGGAAAGGAGGAGATAATGCTAAACCAGGCCTGCCTGTGTCCACATCTGAAACAGACTTTGTTAAACTGGACTTGACTTGTCTAGACTGCATTCAACCTAGACCCATTTTAACCACGCTTTCCAAAACTATCCCTTTCAGTTTGCAGCTGGCCGAACCACTCCATCTAAGGGACTCCAACTTCCGCCTGGTAACTGTTTGCTTCAAGTGCTCAGGTAACTGGCGACAGATCGGATGTAAGTATGTTGTCGTCGGAGACACAAAGTTTACACCAGT